CATTCCTTGGTTTAAATCTTCAAAGAAGTACTTGAGAATAAAATGGGAATTATTCACATTTTAAGAACAGGCCACGCAGCACAATTTGGTAAGATAAATGCATGAGAAATTCTCCAATATGAATCACATATGTAGGGAAGAATCTGGCCCACAGACTTCCTTTAATTAAATGCCTGTCTAATAAAAATCTTGTCAATGGTGTACAGATGGCTGCCAAAGAGACCGAAGCAATTCACTTTAAGTTCTGCAACTCATTACATACATCTCCTCATGCTAGAAATTCTTGCATTTTTACTTTGTCCTTAAGAAGCAGCCGCAGAAGCAACACAAAAGGGTCTACAGTTTACATATTTTGAAATAATATCCAACAACAGAAGACAATATGAATGCCAGGAAGCCCTTCAAGAGCCCTGAGTGGCTTCAAGATTTGTTTCTAGATCTAGTTTCTAGATTCATCATTTCACTGACCAGTCACAGAAAGTCCATTCTCTGCAAGCTCATCTTCCTTGATGATTAAGGAGACCGTTAGAATAGCTCTTGTCTTAGAAAAATTGATTGACAGCTCTAGAGAAACGCCTTTGGAAGTTGGAATGAATGCACAGGTCTTGAATCTCTGCTGTCTGTTAATTATATCCATCCCAACAACTGTTCCCCTCTAAGCTTAGTTCAACTTTACGCATTTGTGTGCCCTTCTTAGGCCATGCAGTGAAACTTCAGAGACAAGACTTGGGTACAGAGTCTTGCAAAAGTCAAGAACAGGGAAGGTGGGATGGAGGAGGCTGTAGCTTTTCCTGAGCTTTGCACACACTGGGCAGACCTGTTCCACCAGGCTCCAAGAATGCTTATTACCCCACTTTCTGACCAATGTTCTGGAATCTTTTCTAGAGTCCTGAAAGCACCCCTAGAAGCAATTAGCAAATATTCTCTCTGCACATGAGGAAATGTGCCTCTTGAAGAAAGCGTTCTGTCTATAGTATGCCTGTCCGACTCATGCCAACTCTGTGCATTTCAGAGCAGAACTGTGCTCCATAAGGTTTTCAGTCGCTGATTTTTTGGAAGTAGATTGCCAGACTTTTCTTTCAAGGTGCTCCTAGGTGGACCTGAAACTCTAATCTTTCTGTTAGAAGCTGAGTGTGTTAACTACACCACTTCTTCAATTTTAAGCACCGCTAGTGTAGTGGTTACGAATGGGGCTGCAAAACTCAAGGTCAGCAGTTCAAAACTACCAGCCGTTCTGTGGCAGAAAGATGAGGCTTTCTGCCCCTGTAAATATTTATAGCCTCGGAAACCCTGTACAGGGTCGCTGAGTCAGAACACCTCCACCAGTTACACCAATCAGCAGGGTTGTTGATTTCATAAATATTGGCCAAGATGCAAAGATCGAATTGCTTGACTGGTACAAAACCAGTGAGAAAACAACAACAACAACAACCCATGAGCAGTTATAAAAGTGGGTCTTGTCAATAAAGAAATAAGTATACCTCTATTAGTCAGTTGCTTTTAAAACTCTACAGATAAAATCTCTTCTTTAGGAAAAAACAAAGCACAACAATCATTGGAGTACGTTTAGCATTAGAGGTTTACATTGGATGATTTGCATTATGTGCCAGGCAAGTTAATACTACCTGTTGTTCATTCGTATGTCATTCTCAGACTGCTGTACAAGTATAATTCCAAGACTCATTGGAACACAAGTAAACCACAGGATTCTACAGCCAATCTGCCTTAATCACATGTGACTATATTGTTAGATAGCAAATTCACATTTAAATCCCAAACAGAATATGCAAAAACTTGTTATAACTGCAAAAATTCCACAATATAAAGAATAGTATTCATGACTACCAATTACGGATTTATGATTGCCTAAGAAAAATCTTGGGGGAAAGATGAGGCTTTCTGCTCCCGTAAAGATTTATGGCCTTGGAGACCCCATTACAGGGTCACTATAAGTAGGAACCGACTCCACAGCACACTACCACCACCACCACCACCACCACCAAGTACAGTCTACATGATCCTTGGTCTCCAAATCTGATGATTTAGGAATCCACAGGAATCTATCAAATTAAAATACTGAATCAAAAGTTCCCGGTCCTGCAGGATGCCACATAATGTCAAAAGCTGGTGACCGACTTCTAGTCCCAGCCTTGCTGTGTAGCAGTTGAATGACTGAGAAATCACATCGCCTTCCAGACCAAGTCTTCTCATCCAGAAAATAAAGGTTTGCCCTAGATGATCCCCCAGGGGCCCTTATAATTTTAAAGTTCTATGATTATGTTAAAGATATGAATCAAGAGTAAGACGTGAATTAGACTACTTCGATGAACATCTTTCCAGCGATTCAATACTCAGTTTGATTCATCAATCATGCACTGAATCAAATGATTAGGAAAGTAAGATTTTAAAAAGTTTATATGAACATGGATTAACTCTTCAGAATCTTTAAAATAGACATACAGAATCATTGTGAGCCACTGGGTCAGTCAAGACTCCTATGTGACATACGGCTGCCAAATTCTACTCAATTTCTTAAACATGTTTGGCTCTTGCTCTGTGAAAAAGTCATATGATGAATCTAGTAAGGTCACTAGCTTGGTGGCACGTCAAGGATGTACCATAGTTGCAACTCTTGTCAATTAATCTGGTAGTTATTTTGGAGCTACAAGTTCTAACTATACAATTGATCTTTGAAAGTGCCCAAGACGACACAGTACCAAATAACAATGAACGAGGAAGGTCTTTCATTTGCGCTGCCCTTCTTACTCTACAAGCAGACCACATGTTCAGCTAACACTTTCAACACAGTTCTAGATTCTAGAAGGCAGACTGGCCTGGCAGAGAAGTGACCCTGGCTGCCCAGTAGAATTTTCTGGAAGTCCCTGAGGTACTCTACACCAATTCCATCAACATTTCTGGAGCCAGAGCCCTGGCATCACTGTTCTTTAAAAGCATCCCAGGGCATTCCAGTGTACAGCTACGGGTCAGGAAAACACTGCAAGTAAAAACCCGACTCTTTAAACCACAGTCCTGATGGATGGAAGGCACGGGCACAGGTAGTGAAAATGTAAAAGATGTCAAACCTGTCACTACATATACCATCTTGGTTTCTTAGAGAAACATCTGAAGTCACTGTTTCTAAGAGTGTAAGTGGCGTCAATGCGCATCCAAACCATCCAAGGGCAGTGCTATTGGAAAGGGCACACAGTTTGCCAACATGACAATTGTGCCTACAGACTCTCCCTTTCCTCGTCACTCAGTAGCACTCATGATTCACCACAATTCCAAGAGCCAGATCTAGGACTTCTTAAAACATAACTAACAATTTGATCCACCAATGCAGACCCAAGCCAAAGCAGCAATGCCACCTACATGACACTTGAGGAAGGTCTGGCAGCCTTAGAGAGTTTCACTTGCAGTTGGGAAAGAAGTGACATCCCCAAGTTCTTCCCATTCAAGTATTCTTTAGTCTCCATTAAGATGTCACCAACACTAGCAAAACACTCACATCTCCTGTTGGATTTTGTCAACACCTGACTTTAAGAGGCACAGAGACGAAGCCCTCCTTTTTAAAGAAGGGGGAAAAGTCAAATCGACACCATGCCTCTGATCTCAAGGATACTTCAGTCCAAACACTCCAATGATAGGAGGGTGATCTGCCCACACAAGTGAGCACACAGAGAAATTTCCACATACAAATAGAACACACTAGACACTACCAGACTCATCGGAAAGTCTTTCTTTCTAGGCTTCCACCAGCAAGACAGATAAGTTCCTGGTCATTTGTCATGGTGGCTTGCTGCTTCTCTTGTCCATTCTTCTAGGGAAAGCAAGCCATTAGGAGAAGATTTAGTTTTCCTTAAAGACTTTAGAAGGCAGGTATCCCCTATCCAAACACATGCCTGTCCAAACACTTCCTCTAAGATTGATTGATTAAACATTAATGAGCCATTAAAAGAGATCATTTTCATTGAAACCCTGGACACAGACCCAGGTCACCAACTGCTGGAGACTTGCCTTCTAACCTCTTCACTCACCCTCCTCCCTCTCCTCGCTCAAAGGGAGACTGCCCAAGAGCTTCGTGCTTGGAGGCATGGAAGGGGGACTCCGCACTACTGGATGACTAACCATCAGGGGCTGGTTCGAAGAATTCACCAGTTCAGGGTCTGAATCACTGGATTCAGAACCGCTACAGGCGGAGCTCTCGATCACCTGTATTGGAGCCAGTTGGTCCTCCATGTTGCTGACACACACTGGCTGCATGGTGGAAGTCTTAGTGGCCAGTCCCAAAAGAGGAGAGCCATTAGCCAGCAGTCTACCTCCCGAGGCCGCCATGGTGGCCACGCCTCCCTCTTCCCTGCCATCTAGTTTATCTAGTTCCTCTGGGGTTGATGCAACCTGGCTGAGGATGAGTGGATTTGTCTCTGACTTATTGTATCGACTAGGAAGATTCCGCAAGTATGGCCTTGGCAGGACAGGGGAGAAGTTTTCATGGGGACCCTGGTTGGGGAGTAGATCTTCTCCCATACCTCTCTCTCTATAATCATGGCCATTTCCAGAGATATACCCTTGAGACCCAGTCCTGTCCCAACTCATATTTGGACTTGAACTTCTGCTGCTGGGAGACAATGGGGTGGCCAGGGGGCTGTGACTCTCTGAGCCCCTGAACATTTCATCTATCAAAGAGCTATGTCTTGGGAGTATGGGGCTCCCACTGATATCAAAGGTTATGTCTGCTGAATCGTCATCAATGAATTCTCTGGAGGGAGTCCGGGAGGACTTTACAGAGTGAAGGGAAGCCCTATGTCTAGCCTCGATCTGCCTCTCCTCTCTGGACAGCAGATAGACACCACTGGTCACATCACCCTCATAATTGTCATTTGTTTGGGACCGTGACTGGGACGCGTGTTCTCTGAGAAGATCGTATTCACTATCTACATCACTGCAGTCAATGAACGGAATGGAAGCGCAGCTGCCTCTAGCAGCCCTGGATGCTGGACCTGTGCTTGGCTGCTGGGGTTGAGGTTTACTCTGCTGGATCCTGTCCTTAAGGGCCTCCTCCTCTTCCTCCATTGGCACTGTGATGGCTCCATCAGCCTTCTTGTTACCCAGTGGGCTCTTCTTCAGAGAAGGGCTTTGTTGTGGCCCAGGCTCTTCAGCGGAAACTTTCAGTTCCTTTCCTTGCTGGTAAATCTGGCCACTTGGTAATTCTGCACCTTCTCCATAGGTAAGGCTGGTGCTCTGCTGAGACTGTTAGGGTGATGGAGAGAAAGGATGAAGGGAGATGAAGAGAAAAAAGGAGAACGTTAGCCTAGAGCTGTGATGGAAAACAGAGAAGGCAAAGTCTAACGCAACAGCGCCACCTTAAGCTTGAGGTGGCCGGGAGGACTGTCGAATAAAAACGGCCCACTGGGGCGCTGCTTGGACAATATGTGTACCTCAGAAAAATAACACTTGGTCATTATCCAACAAGCTCCTCCACAGTGTGAGAGCTAACAACACCTGGTCCCCCAGTAGCATGGTCTCCATGTTTTTCCAGACCCACAATTTCATACTGGGTTTCACATACTTCAGTGGAACAAGAGAGTCCTTCTAGCCTAAAGAAGCCTTTGAAAGCAAGTGTGGTCCATGAACGGATGAAAAATCACACTCCTTTAAAAGCATGCTGACAGACTTTCAAAAAAAAAAAGATACAAACTTCTTTGCTTAATATTTCTAAGGGTAAAATGGAACTGTTAAGGATAAAAAAACACACACACACACACACACAGTGAAACCTCTTCCATGTCATTCCTTAGCAGAGTTTTTTCTTCATTCTCAGAGAAAACCTTGAAAACTCACTCCGAATCCAACTCAGGGAAAAATGAGCCCTTGCCACCCTCAAAGAGCGATAATGTCTCTTGTTGCCAAGTGTGGTCACTACCCTGTAACCAAAACCATGGGAACTCACTGTCTAGTTCCATGCCAACTAAAGGTTCTGACCCTGGCATCAACCTGGAGCTACACCCATCTGCTGGCAAGCAGGCCCCAGCCTCGGTCCACAAGCAAATCCATTTTGCTGGCTCCCACTGATGTTTCACTCCCTAAGCTGAGTTCTGGCCCATGGAGCAAACTTCTCTGGGACTTAGATCACACCCAACTGAACCCCGGTTGGAAGTCAGCTTGGTGGGTACAAAACCCACATCAGGTTGAAGCTGGGGCATACAAACAGATCCTCATCTATAAATATCCCCAACAATAAACTACGAGGAATGTGAAAGCATGCTATAAAACACAGCATTCAGGAGAGGCTTTTTGTGTAAAATAAAAACCAGAACTAGAGTTCTAGGAGTAACGTGACCATTACTGACTTGTTTTGGCACTTCTGAGTTTGCTTCTGAAGGCTCCGAAGCTAGGCTTCTGATGGAATGAATCTTGCTGTGTTTCCTGGGAGAAATCACATATGAGAGCTAGTGTGAGTGGTAATTTCAAATGAAAATGATCATCAGGGACATTAGGTTCTTCCTCAATAAACAATCCACTGTCACCTCCCACCCCCCACATAATCCCTGCACGGGTCAGGGGTTCCTTAAACCTTAAAGATGTTCCCTTTTCCAGTTCTGCTGGTTCCGTTGGTTAAGGGAGCATTAGAAATTCAGCAATGATGCAAAAGTCCTTGAAGAGAGACATGCTGTCAGCTGTAAGTGCCGACCCAACAATATGGAATCCATTCACAGGTTTAGAGTAATTGCTGCTCCCTAGGTTAGCATTATGACAGAGGTTGTTGTTTTGTTAAGAAATGACCCAGAGCAACCCTGTATAGGGTTTCCAAGGAGCTACTGGTGGGTTGGAACCACCAACCTGTGGTTAGTAGTCCAGTGCTTATCCTACAGCGCCACACCAGGACTCCAGAAGACAGGTTGTTGTTGTTCTTGTTAAATGCCACTGAGTTGGTTCCAATTCATAGTGACCCTGCACAGGGCTTCCAAGACTTAAAAAAAAAAATTCTTTGCAGAAAGCCTCATCTTTCTCCTGTAGAGTGGCTGGTGGGCACGAACCATAGACCTTGTGGTTCTCAGTCCAGTGCTTATTGCATGGCGCCACTTTGCTCCCCATAAGAGATGTTGTTGTTGTGAAGTGCTGTCGTGTCGGTTCTGACCCATAGCGACCCTGTATAGGATTTCCTAGGAGCGGCTGGTGAGCTTAAACCACTGATTTTGTGGTTCAAACTGACTTTGCAGTCCAGCGCATTACCCCACAGCGCCACACCAGGACTCCTTAAGAAATGCAATTACCTCTAATTGGGCTAACTCTTGATGTTTAGACGAAAAAAGCCTAATCTATAGTACGCTCAAAGGAGCTCTGGTCATGCAGTGGTTATGAATCTGGCTGCTAACCTCAGTATTAGTAGTTTGAAACTATCAGCTGTTTCGTGGGAGAAAGATGAGGCTTTCTGCTCCAGTAAAGATTTACAGCCTTGGAAAACCCTATGCAGGGCCGTTATGAGTCGGAACTGACTCCACAGCTCACCACCACCACCCATAGTAGACTCAATGGAGTTCTGGTATGGCACTGTAGAATAAGGACTGGACTGTAAGGTCAGTTTGAACCCATAAGTTTGGCAGTTGAAACTCAAGAGTCACTCCTTGGAAACCCTATGCAGGATTGCAATGGGTCGGAACCGACTCGACCGCACTTCACAACAACACAGTAGACTCAATGGTAGAAGGCTTTGACTTCCTCTCGTGAAGACCTCTTTTTATCGTATTGTATCCTAAGTCTACCTGCCTCCCCACCCCACCCCACTGAACAAGCACTGTGCCATCTTCAGGTACATAAACTCAGGCACTATCAATCCGCAGAGATGAAATGCCAGTGTGTACACAGGTTTTCCTAGAATACTTCACGTTAATACAGAACAAGTTCTGGAGCGTCCACATTCTGAATGAGAGAGAGGACTAGCCCACTTCTTACACGATGCTCAAAACATGACTCACTAATTGTCCAAGAAAATATGCAGTTTGTCATATCAAACACACATGCTAATGAAGTACACATTACATTTCCGGATTCATGCCAGGAGAAATGGCTACCGGTACACACAAGGAGGCTTGTATATGGTTAGGCAAAACAGCATGTTCATTTCAGTGAAACTCAGACAACTTGACCATCCATCAGTAGGGACAAAGATAAACAAAACGTAACATCTGCAAAATACTGCACAACATTCAAAATATGTCTCAGACAACTTGACTGTCCATCAGTAGGGACAAAGATAAATAAAACATATTATCTGCAAAATACTGCACAACATTCAAAACATGTCTCAAAGCCAGGGTAGGGCTAAACAATCAAACTGAAGAGTTCAATTAAGCATGACACCGCATATATACATAGAGGAGCACACACGCAAATCAATTCTATGTTTTAGGAGCCCTGGTGTGGCACTGTGGGCTAATGCGTCGGACTGTAAAGTTGTTTGAACTGCAAGGTTGGTGGTTCAAGCTCAGTAGCTGCTCCTTGGAAACCCTATGCAGGGTCACTATGGGTTGTTATCGAATCCAACGACACTTAACAATAACATGTATCTATATGTATTTGGAAGAAGTGCAGCCAGAGTGCTCCTTAGAGGCCAGGATGGCTAAACTTCGTCTCTCCTACTTTGGACATATTGTCCGGAGGAAACAGTTGCTGGAGAAGGATGTCATGCTGGGTAGGGTGGAGGGTCAGAGAAAAAGAGGAAGACCCCCAACGAGATGGATCAGCCAGGTGGCATCATTGATGGACTCAGGTGTGGCAGCGGTAGTGAGGTTGGCCCAGGATCGAACATTGTTTCGTTCTGCTGTGCATAGGGTCGCTATGAGTCGGTTCCGACTCGATGGCACCTGACAACAACAACAACATATGTATGCATATATATATATATATATATGTGTGTGTGTGTGTGTCTATATCTCTCTCTATATAGATATATATCTAGTTGTTAAGTGCCGTCAAGTTGGTTCCAACCTATAGCAACCCTGTATAGGGTTTCTAAAGAGTGACTGGTGAGCTTGAACCACCAATTCTGCAGTTCAAACAGCTTTGCAGTCTAGCGCATTAACCCACAGTGACACACCAGGGCTCGCTCTCTCTCTCTCTCTCTCTCTCTCTCTCTCTCTCTCTCTCTCTCTCTCTCTCTCTATATATATATATATATATATATATATATATATATATAAACTAGCATACATTTAGCAGTTGTTGCTTCTAGAGATGGGAGAAGCAAAGAAGGGGGTCTTAAAGTTAAAGGACGAAACCCTAGGTGATGAAATTAGGTAAGTGCTTAAAATTATTAACCAAAAAGTTGGTTAAAAAGATCAGATTACCAAGTCTTCCTTCCAAGGCTCCAACTCAGAGGAGCCTTGGAAGGAAGGCTTGGTAATCTGATCTGAAAGGTTGTTGGTGGTGGTTATGTGCCATGGAGTCAGTTCCGACTCATAGCGACCATGCACAGGGTTTCCAAGGCTGTAAATCTTTACAGGAGCACAACGCGTCATCTTTCTCCTGCGGAACTGCTGGTAGTTTTGAACTGCTGACCTTGACACTGGCAGCCCGACTAGTAGCCACTACGCTACCAGAGCTCCTTGTATGCACAATAGAACTGTGCTAATCTCACAACTGTTGCTACACTTGAGCTCACTGCTGCTTCCACAGTGCCAATCCATCTCATTGGAGGTCTTTCTCTTTTTTGCTGACCCTCTACTTTACCAAACATGATGTCCTTCTCCAGGAACTGGTCCCTCCTGATAATATGTCTGAAGTATGAGAGATGAAGTCTGGCCATCTTGGCTTCTAAGGAGCATTCGGACTGCACTTCTTCCAACCTAGATCTGTTTGTTCTTCTGGCAGTCCATGGTATTTTTAATATTCTCCTCCACCACAATAACTCAATGCATCAGTTCTTCTATGGTTTTCCTTATTCATTGTCCAACTTTCACATGCATATGAGGCTATTAAAAATACCATGCTTGGATCAGGTACACCTCAGTTCTCAAACTGACATTTTTGCTCTTGAAATTTGCCTAATGCAATATGTCATTGGATTCCTTGACTGCTTCTTCCATGAGTGTTGAGCCAAGCAAACTGAAGTCTTAACAACTGCAGTATTTTCTCCATTTATCATGTTGTTATTTATTGGTCTAGTGGTGTGGGTTTTTGTTTTCTCTACATTGAGGGTGCAACCCACACAGAAGGCTGTGATCTTTGATCCTTGTCTGTATTTTACATCCTCTTCTCTCTCAGCAAGCAAGGTTGTATCATCTGCATATTGCAGATTGTTAATGAGCCTTCCTCCAATCCTGATGCCACATTCTTCTTCATGTAATGCAGCTTCTCGAATTATTTGCTCAGCGTACAGACTGAATAAGTATGGCGAAAGAATACAACCCTTTCCTAATTTTAAACCATTCAATGTCCCCTTGTTCGGTTCAAACAACTGCCTCTTGGTCTATGTACAGGTTTTTTATGAGAACACGTAAATGCTCCAGAATACTCATTCTCCATAATGTTGTCCACAGCTTGTCACGATCCACACAACTGAAAACTTTTGTGCTGTCAATAAACCACAGGTAGACATCTTTCTGGTATTGTCTGCTTTCAGCCAGGATCCATCTGACGTCCTTGTCTGAATCCTGCTTAAGCCTCTAGCAGTGACCTGTCAGTGGGCTGCTGCAGCCATTTTTGAATTATCTTCAGCAACATTTTACTTGCATGAGATATTAATGATATTGTCCAATGATTTCTGCATTCTTTGGGTTATCTCTTTTTGAGATGGGCACAAACATAGATCTCTTCCAATCAGTTGGCCAGATAGCTGTCTTCCAAATTTCTTGGCATAGATGAGTGAGTGCCTCCTGTGCTGCCTCAGTGGATTGAAAGATTTCAGTTTGTATTCTATGAACTCTTGGAGCCTTGTTCTTTGCCAACGGCTCCAGTGAACTGGGGATTTCTTCTTTCAGTACCATTGGCTCTTGATCCAATGCTGCCTCTTAAAATGGTTGGGCAGGTACCAATTTTTTTGGGGGGGGGAACAGTAGCTCTGCATATTCTTTCCATCTTCTCCTTCAAAGAGTTTGTGGAAAAATTTCCGTATTTTTCAACTCCATTTTTCCATGAACTTTTTGCAGCCCCCTTGTAGAGGTAAAATACTTGGAGCAGTGTCTAACACTTACTATGAACTACAAGTATTTGCTGCTACTGCTGTTAATGAGGATACAACAATAATCAATCTTGTTTCTTCTCATTCATCCAAAGAAGTCTATAGAAATACGTTCTATTTAAGTCACAAAGTATTTAACAAGCAAGTTTTTACAGTGTCTTGTCCCCCAAGAGTGAGGAGCTCTGGTGGCCCAATAGTGAAGCGCTTGAGTGCTTATTAACAGGTTGGTAGTTCCAACCCACCTACAGGCTCCCTGAGAGAAAGACCTGGCGATTTGCTCTAGAAAAGACTATATCCTAGAAAACCCTAGGGGGCGTTTCTATTGCCAAGTGGTTGCTATGAGTTGAAAATCAACTTGATGGCACTCACAACCACAATCCCGACAGTAATCTCCCATTGTTCTTCTGTGTGTGTCCTTGTCCCTCTCCTTCCTCACCCGGTCTTCTCAGTCTAGTCTTCCCCTTCCATCTTACACTAGAGTCAGTGCCCTGGGTCCCAAAATGTTCGCTCTAATACTGACTTGCCAAGGTGGACTGCAAAGCTGTCGTTGGGTAGGTAACTCACTAGTCACTGAGCTGGGGTGAAGGAATGAACACTTACCTAGGTGATGGCTCTTGTCAAGTCAAAAATAGAATCAACGAGTCTCTTACCTTTCAAACTGCACTTTCTTATGTCCTCCTTCTTTAACATAGTCGAGAACCTGCTTCTGAGTCCGACCACTGAAATGAAGCCCATGAAGAGAAAGAAGAGAAGACACCAAGGCATTCTCATTTAAACAGACAAACACAAACACTGCCGTATCTGTACTTCCCCTCTTTCCATCATGGAACATACGTGGGTTTTCTCCTGAGAGAACCCGTGTTCTATCTCCATTCAACCTCTTTCTAGTTCCTTTTTATAGAACGCGTCAGTTGGTTAACTCAAACCACTCCGTTACTGTGCGTTTGGCTCTTCAGAAACCATCCCAAATATCTGTATGTTTGACACTCTATTTTTAAAATCTTTTATTGTGAATTGAGTGAAGGTTTTACAGAGCAGATCATCAGTTTTCCATTCAATGGATCATAGATTTGGCTTCACTGCAATAATTGCAGTCCCCTCCATGCACCATCATTTAATCTCAATTCACTTTAATGCCTGCATTCCTCAACACTGGGGTAATTTTGTTCACTATTATACTCCTCTGATGCCTGAAATGACACTTGGCATCTGTTAAGATACACAAATACAAGGGAGCTTTAAAATTTTTGTGGAAAAATTCCATTTCAACACACTTTTAAAAAGTGCTCTTGTATTTGTTGAAAGAATAAATATAGAAGTGAACCAATGAGGGGTAAAGTGTACATTTCATTCTACGAAACGACATGAATGTCATGAAGACATCTTTCCTTCTACAGAGATGGAGAACTCATTCTCTATGGGAGAATCTGTTAGGAGTTTCCTGTGAGAGGAGAGGTCGTTAGTGACAGGCTAATCCTCAAAAAGAACACAGCAAAGATCTTCCCAAGAGCGTGTGAGGGTTACCAAGTGTACACCTGCTAGAGATCAGTGAGCGTTCATGTCCTCTACTTGCTGGACATCACACAGTTGTGACAACTATCAGGAAAAGAAAAATCTCCAGCAAGAATGATTTCAGGGCAGCAAGATGGATAGGTGTGAAGCGGTAACCTTACCTGAACCGAAAGGATGACCCTCGACTAAAGAGAACAGGCTTTGGCTTTGGTTTGGGCTCTTCAAAGAGTCTAAAAAAGGCATGATGCTCAACACAGATTTTCCAGAAGGACTTGCAAAAATCCCGACTGGCCATTAGGAATTCCAAGGTATCCTGGTAAGAGCTCTGAAAGAAAGAAAATGACCACTTGGGGTGCTCTCCTCATTCCCAGACATGTCCTCACACTTGGAATATGAGAAAAGGGAGAGGAAAGACTTTATCGGAGACATTCTGAATGGTGTATTACATTACAGCATGTGTGAAATTAAAATATTCAAATAGAATTTGTCCCTAATGAGAAGACATTGTCACCATTTAACCCTTTTCCTCCTTCACAGAATTCTTTAGAGGAACCAACAGAAAACAGTGGTACAAATTCAGTGGATGTGATTTTTGACAGAATTCATAAACGAATTATGTTTACAGGGCTTACATTTCCTTCTCAGAAAACACAAAAATGAAAACCACATTTCCAAGCACTGCCTCCTTCAAAGGACTGAAATGCAATTCTTCTTTCTCTTTCATTCCTCAGGGTTCAGGTCAACTTTGAATATTAGTCTTAAGTCTTATAAAATAGCACAGGACTCAAGTGTCCAGGCAGACTCAGGAACCAGACGGAAAATTACATTATTATTTTTAACAATTTTCTGGAGCACAGATGTGTCACTCTAAGAAAAAATCCTGTCCTTTGATTCTGGAAAGGGACTGTAGCAGTTTCTTACTACCATGGTCGGATGTTCCCCAATTGAAGTGATCATATTATATAAACAAAAGGAGCCACGGTTCTTAGCATTCCTAGCAACACAACTATTTTGGTAGAGTTCACAGTTCTGGGCAGTCTCAACTTACAAACAATTTGTGCTGCAACTCTTCATTTGCAAGTCAGCTTTTTAGAACTCAAAAGGCATTTTCCTATAGAGAAGACTGTATAAAGGGTATTTAGTTACCAGAAAAGTCTATTCAATCCAACTATAAGCCTATGCAGCCATTTCTAATCTTTGGTTCCTTGGGAACAAGTATTCTCCCTTTTGGCTAGGGACGCCAGGGATCTCTCCTCTAGCTCTGTGTACACTGTCATTTCCAACAGAGGGAGAAGAGGCTGTGTTTTCCTTCCCTGACCCAGTCCTGGTGTGAACAAAGTCTTCAAGGGTAGTAAAAGGAGCCCTGGCAATACAACGCTCAACTGCTAATTGTCCGGTTGGTGGTTCAGACCCACCCAGTGGCTCCACAGAAGAAAGACCTGGAAATCTCTTTCTGTGAAGATTGTTGTTGCTGTTAAGTGCTGTTGCCTTAGTTCCAACCCATAGCAGCGCTGTGTAGGGTATCCAAGGAGTGACTGGTGAGCTTGAACCACCGACCCTGTGGTTCAAACCTACTTTGCAGTCCAGTGCATCAGCCCACAGCGTCACACCAGGACTCCTCTGTGAAGATTCGAGACTTGGAAACTTATGGAGCAATTCCCCTCTTCACATGGTGTCATTGTGAGTTCAAGTCAGTGGGACCTAAAATCTACAGCAGCTGGGAAGGACCTGCTTGGCTGGTGAGAATGAGCTCTGCTACAGGTTTGGGGACAACAGCAGGGAGTTGAGTTTCCAGGGCAGAATTCTGATGGCGTCTCAGCTAATGGGGACAGGGGTAGGGGTGGGGGTGGGGGCAAGGTTACAAATGTCAGCAGGCAACAGTTCACATTGTTCCTAGGCAGGGGCGGCCTATATTCACACAGGAAACACCATTCTCTGTTTACAAAGTATAACAGCTGTGGTGATGCTGAGCGCTGGATACATCTTCATGTCTAGAAGACACCCAGATAACTTTTGCTGGTAACTTTCTCTCTCTCTCTCTCTGTGTGTAAGTATATACAAGTATGCCACAAAACATCTATCATGTCAAGAATCTTCACAAACATAGTTCAATGACGTCACATTACCTAACCACCACCTCTATCTGTTCCCAGATTCAGAGTTCATTTTCACAAGAGGGGCCATGTGGCCCAACTGTCCTCAGGGTCAGCCCTGCCTGAGCCCACTTGAGCCCGGTGACTGACAGGGCAGGTGGAGTTGACCCACCCCCCACTTCCATGAACCACTTACATTTGCGTCTGGGCGGAGCTTGATGAGAAAACGTTTCCTCTTGAAACTCAGCTTCCGCACCTTCGCCCAGTTGAAGGCATTGATCTTTGTGAAACCCTAAAAAAAAAAAAAGGCATCAGCTAATGAGTCAAAAAAATGCATAGTACTGAACATGAGAGTTCGTCTGCTTAAACATGGGAAGCCGAGGGCAGAAGGATGTCTACTTTTGGCTGTTGAACTCGCAGGATCTGCGGATACTGGTGAGACCAGCTCCAAGGTCAGGCCTTCAAACTCACCAGCCACTCCTCAGAAACTCTATACAGGGTCACTATGAGTCAGAACCAACCTAACAGCACTTAGAAGCAACAATTCCATGATTTAGCATTCAAACGAAGTCTGCTTCCAGGAAGGTAATGATGAAAATAAGAATAAAGTAAATAAAATTAAAAACCATGACGAACACCACAGTAACTAGCAGCTATCACTTATGCGCTGTGGGCTAATGTGTCAGACTGTAAAGTTGTTTGAACTGCAAGGTTGGTGGTTCAAACTCACCAGCTTCTCCTTGGAAACCCTATACAGGGTCACTATGGATTAGAAGCGACTCAACAGCACTTAACAACAACAACAACAATCTAAGATACAACTACTGGCCTTGCTCCATACAGAACAAAGACTCAAGGAATCAGTTAGTCTAAAGAACTAATGGGGGTCACATGAACCACTAGCCTGAGACCAGTAGAACTAGATGGTGCCCGGCTATCACACCCAACTGTCTGATCATGACCACAGTAGAAGGTCCCAGACAGAGTGGGAGAAAACTGTAGAACAAACTACAAAATCATAAAGAAATTTAGATGGTGAAGCCTCCTGAGTGAACAACACTGGTGAATTTAGGATTATCAACCACACAAGACTAAAAGGGTTTTCTGTGCTGAAAACCCAGCTCAGACAGCAGGAAGGGGCAGGGAAGATAATGAGCAGAAGTGGGGATCCCAAAAAGGAAGTGGGAAGAGTGCTGTTACACTGAGCATATAGCAACTAATGCCACTCAACAATCTGTGTATACATTGTTGAAAAGGAATCTAATGTGCTCTGTAAAATTTTACCCGAACAACAATAAAGTGTACAAAAAATAATAACTACAAAAACCCTATAGGAAACCTAGCCAGATGGGTTTATTATCCTCCATTTAGACACAGGAACTGAGACACAGTTATCCGTACAGTGAAGCCCGTGGGAACCGGAACTCGATGGGAGAGCCTGCCTTTCCAGGTCTTACAGGTTTTCTACCTTGACAGGCTAGAGCTAACTGCTTCTGTATCAGCCTCTATGAGTGGAAACTACCATTACCATTACCCAGGTGATTGGTAATATCACAGAAGCAGGGCAGGTTAGCCGTTAATCCCAACTCGTACAGACTGGCTCCTGAGTCCACCGGTACACAAGCAGGACTGAGACAGGAAGGCTGGGCTGCACCCAAAGCCGTGTCCTCCACACCAGAGCATAGTCTCTGGACGGGACCCTACACCTCCTGGTTTCTGGTAGGATGGGGTGTAGACACAATAAGGAGCTTTCAGACATGAACTCAGCTAAAATCCAAATTCTCCTCACTCCGTGTTAACACCAGGCCCATTTATTCAAAGTGGTAAGAATGAAGCCATTAGGCCGTGGCAAGATTAATTCCAAGATACAACATTTGTGCATTATTAAATTACTGAGCAATTCTCAATATTGAGATCATATCAAATGCAATCAAATCTAATTAATTCGATCGCGAGAGCTCTCTTTTCCTCTTTATGATGTTTAGAAATGTTTAATGGTTTTGATATTGAAATTTAATGACAGGGCTGAAAATTACACTTGGTTTTATTGTTGTTTTCCTTCTCGGGTACTCACAGACTATTCGTGCAGGTCAGAAACTGTTAGCGGGGGTCACCTCCTCAAATACCATACTGCTTGCAAAGCTCTCCAACACGAAACTCTAACTCTTTTTGGACAGATTCTGTAGTAAGCAGTGCTACTATGTGCAGAGAGTTCTGGTGTGTTACTATAGGACAGCCCTCGATCACAAGGTGAGTTTGAACCGCACGCTCAGTGGTTCAAACTCGCCAGCCATTCCTCAGAAATCCAATGCAGGGTCGCTATGAGTCAGGACAACTCGAAGGCATTTCACTGCAATAACCACATGTAAGCCCCCCAGTGAGATGGACTGTCAAAGCGTGGCAACAATAGTGAGGTTGGCCTAGGACTGGGCAGTGTTTCATTCTGTGGAGCAGACTCGATGGCACCTAACAACAACAACACATATAAGGAACTCCAGTGGTCCTGGGCTGCTAACTGTAAGGTCAGCAGTTCAAGCTCACCAGCTGCTCCGCAGCAGAAAGATGAGACTTTCTGCTCCTATAAAGATTTACAGCCTTGGAAAGGGTCACGATGAGTTAAAATGACTCGATGTTAGTTGGTAGGGCCTCTGGTTTTCATACATATGCTATGAAGCATGAGGGGAAAATCACTGGGACCGCTTTGATAAAATACAAAGGGGAATTGGGAGAAAAGCTGTGCAGTGCTCAACACAAAGGGTTTTAGATCATGCATGTGTTTACAATTTCAGATACAGGTAGAATTGGACCTTATTTCCTGAGAAATGCAGTACTTTTGTCCACATCTTTTCAAAACCAAAGCACAGATTTCCCACTTGGGATTCACAACAAAAGTACTAAGAAAGCTTCTGGAGGGGAAGCACAACATGTGCATGATTCTCATGGCTTTGATGGTTTCACAGGTATGTACAAATGCCAAAACTTATCAAACTGCATACTTTTTAAGTATGTGCAGTTCACTGTATGGCAACACTTCTTCAGTGAAACCATCATGTAAAAGAGAGAAGCACTGATTGATATAAGATTTTAATAGTAGTGAGATCAATAGAACATACACTTTAGAATCAGTGGGCTCTAGGTCGTCCAGTCACATACAAGGAGGCACTTCCGTGCAGTGTTCTGGTGTGAATGATCACAGTATGAGGACATAGTCTGGATGAGCTGATAAGACAGCTGCTTCTTAAAGGTTTCTTTTTAACATAATGTGCATATGAAGCTATCAATCAGCTGGCTCCATTCAAATAAGGCTTAAAAGGGTTATATTACAGTAGTTTGGTTGGTTGGTTATGTGCTGTGGGGTAGGTTCTGACTCATATTGACCCTGTTTCCAAGGTTTCCAAGGCTGTAAATCTTTACGGGAGCAGAAATACTCTTCTTTCTTCTGCAGAACAGCTGGTAGTTTTGAACTGCTGACCTTAAGGCTCGCAGCCCGATTTTTAACCACTACGCTACCAGAGCTCCGTATAGTAGAGCGGCAGGTAAAGGTATTTATTTGGGAATCCGAATGCTTGATCATATACTATGCTCTAAGTATAAGTCCTCTGAAAGATACCGATTTCTGTGTTTCAACCATCTATAGAAGTCCCTGGGCAGTGGCGCAAAAGGTTAAACACTCAGCTGGCAACAGAGAGACTGGAGGTTCAGGTATTCAGAAGAAAGGTCTGGCAATCTAGTTTCCCAAAATAGGTCATTGACAATCCTATGGAACGTAACTGTGCTCTGAGATAAACAGTTGATGCCATTGTATACTGGCACAGTCAGTAAGCCCATACTGTTGTTGTTAAGTGTTGTTGAGTCAGTTCTGACCCACAGCAACCCTAGATAGGGTTTCCAAAGAGCAGCCGCTGGGTTTGAACCATCAACCTTGTGGTTAGCAGTCTAGTGCTTATCCTACAGCAACACACCAGGACTCCAACAAGCACATTTTGTTGCTGTTATGTGCCGTTGAGCCAGTTCTGGTTCATAGCCACCCCATCTATAAAGGGTTTCCCAGAAGCAGTTGTTAAATTTGAGCTGCTGATCTAGTGGTTCACAAGCCATTAATTAGGGCAAAACCCAAACCCCACCCGCCAATCAACAAGTCGATTGTGACTCATAGCAACCATATGTAAGATTTCCGAGGCTGTACATTTCTACAGGAGCAGAAAGTCTCATCTTACTCCTGTGGAGCGGCTGCTGGGTTTGAACTTCGGATCTGGTGGTTAGCAGCCCAGTGCTTACCCTACAGCGCCACCACAACTCCTTAAACAGGGCAAAGGCGACTGAAATAGAATCTGGAAGTTGTGGAACTGAAAAGAAGCAGGAAGTCTGAGACAAGGTTAGTTGGTTCTCCTCTCCACTTAAAAATGATGATCGACGGTCTTCACTTGGCTCATCCAACATGGATTCCAAGTGGAAGGGTCAAATCTTAACTCCCCATCGTGAAGGCAACTGAGCTGTGCTCTAAATATGCTTACCTGAAACACTAGAATTCCTGTGTTGGCAACGGCCAAGTTGATCTTAGTGCCTTCTCTGTCCTTAGCTGGGTGCAATCGGATTCCATACATCTCCAGCCGACGGGCAATCTCCAAGAGTTGGAAATCTGATTCTGCTGGTGTTTGTCCACTGACAGAACAAAAATTAAAAAGAAAGGCAGGAAGATTTGAATTCCCTGTGTCGACTAGTTTGCAACGAAGCAGCTTCTCTTAGGAAATAAAAAGACATTTCTTCACAAACAGTAGAGCTAACTGATCAGATGACACCCAACCTCCCATTCATTGCAACCCAAAGTCTTGCAGCCAGGACAAAAAAGCTATTGCTTGTGTAACATAATACCCCCAAAGTCTGTCTCAAACTCAATCAGTTTTTTGGAATCTGAAAGAGCTTCCTTTAAGGTTATATAACAGCAAAACACCAATATGTGAAAACAAGTTGTTAGTCATTCACAATGGATCCAAACTTGTAAGCAAAGTTCAAGGTAACACTCTTATCATATTATCAGTGGGGCTCAAATGCCTTCCCTAAGCATAGAAAAAACATAGAGAAACCATTTAAGATGTTTTACAGATCAATCATAACAAATGGAAATGTTATAAAACCTCTAGATTCTTACACTATTCTTTCTTGGTCCTTCGTTTACCATGTCCCCATTCCCAATTTTCCCCTAAGACGATAACTGCATGATGGTTTGGTCTTATATTCTTCTTCTTCTTCCAAAGCATAAGATGAGGGCTGACTAGAGGGCAGCTAAGGACATTTGCAACTCTGGTCTCACAGGAAAGCAAGCAAGTGGCCTACAGTCCTTACCTGGTTTTGAGAGGCTGGGAAGGGTGATACCAACCTACTGAGTCTCTGTGCTCTTCTCACCAGGCCCAGTGTATTTGTACAATACAGTCATGCAATACTTAAATGCCCACAGAGTTGTTGCTAGGTGCCAACAAGCAAGTGCCAACTCATGTACAACAGAAGGAAACACTCCCCAGTCCTGCGCTATCCTGACAACCGTTCCTACATTTCAGCCTATTGTTACAGCCACTGTGTCAATCTACCGCATTAGGGTCTTCAGCTTTCTCCCTGACCCTCTACTTTACCAAGCATGATGTCTTTCTCCAGAGACTGGTCTCTCTTGATAACATGTCTAAAGCATATCAGAAGAAGTCACCATCCAGACTTCTAGGGAACACTCCAGCTGTACTCCTAGGGAACACTCTGGCTGTACTCCTAGGGAACATTCCGGCTGTACTTCTATGGAACATTCTGGCTGTACTTTTAGGGAACATTTTGGCTGTACACCTAGGGAACACTCTGGCTGTATTTCTAGGGAGCAATCCGGCTGTACTTCTAGGAAACATTCCGGCTGTACTTCTAGGGAACATTCCGGCTGTACTCCTAGGGAACATTCTGTTTGTATTTCTAGGGAACATTCCGGCTGTACTTCTTCCAACACAGGTAAGTTCATTCTTCTGGCAGTCTATGGTGCATTTAATTTTTCCTTTTTTTTTGCCACACAATAATTCAAAGACATCCATTCTTCTCTTGCCTTCCCCTATTTACTGTCCAGATTCCACATACATATGAGGTAACTAAGAATAATATGGCTTGGGTCCGGTGCACCTTAGTCTTCAAAGTAACATCTTTGTTTTTAATACTTAAAAGAGGTCTTTAACAGCAAATCTGCCCAATGCAATATACCAGGCAATGCATTCTGTGAAATAAGTGTAATGTGATTTGGACGTTGCATGAATGCCATCTCATAATCTAGCCCTGCATTTTTTAAAGCACCTTCAACAAGCATTGAACCTCAGCAGTGATCTCTGAAGTGCTGAGAAGGATTCACTTTTGTGTTTGGTCCTCAATCCACGCCTTTCTGATACAGGCCCCTCTCGCGTTTTCTTTAGCTTGTAGCTTTCAGTGGAGCCGTTCGTGAGCGATGTCATCCATTGATTCTCTACCTTTGTGTTGTTTAATGACCTTCTGTTTCACTTCTGAGTGGATACTTCTCCTTTAACTCTGGACGCTCTGTGGCTAACACTGGTGTGGCTGTGTTTGGGAGCCAGGACGCACACTTCATGGTAATATTTGTGAAAGAAAATTCAACAGAGAAATAAATGTGACAGTTCTCAAAGGACACATGATACACAAGACTGATGATGCCGGTGAAGAGTCGAAGTGCACAGTGTCAGCAGTTCTACAGGAAACTGTTTGGATAGATGGCACAGCACATAAGCTAGTACCATAAGCGTGTCTTGTGGCTCATGAGACATATGTATCATAGGCCATGTATGTATGGTCCCATGATTGTGCCTCGCAGCACACAAAAGATACAGCCCACAGAAGATGAGTGTACCGTGTGTGGAAAGCGGTTGTGTTGACGACATCCTGTTCTCTGACTAGGATTTCTGAACTCTTTTGTAATGTTATGAAACCATGGATATGTGCATGCGGTTGGACTCTGCCTGAAGAGACACTATGTAGTACAAGCCTGCGTATATCTTATTATGTAGCACACATACTGGTACTCACGTGTTCGTGTGTATACCTCTATATACTGGGAGGGCAGCAAGAAACACCTCAAAGGGAACATGAAGCAATAAAGGGCTTACGCGTGGTTATGGTGAAATGCCACGATTTTGTCTTCGAGTGCATCTTGCTGAGGTATGTACTTATTTTTTGCCAGGTGTTCTCTGTCCAATGCTTCATCAAAATCCCCAATCTCAGCTAAGAAACACAAAAAGAAAAAACAACAACAACAAAAGACCATGTTGGGTTAGCACTTCACAATTGTTATGTCCCTGTGGAGAATCTTACCCAGTTAGCTGATGGGAAAAATCAACAGGGCTAGCAGACAGATGCTGCAGGTTAATGCGCTGGACTGTAAGGTCGATTTGAACTGCAGTGTTGGCGGTTCAAGCTCACCAGTTGCTTCTTGGAAACCCTATACAGGGTCGCTATGGGTCGGAACTGACTCGATGGCACTTCACAACAATAAGCAGGAAGAAGGTGTGGCTATATGGGCATATTTAACAGTTGTAGTAACATAAGAAGACCACTTCCTAGATTGGTGTTGCCCACCAACAGAAGGCTTAGACAAACCTCAGTACATGCACGTAAAGGAATACTACGAAACAATGAAAAATAACAATGAATCTGCAAAACACCTCCCAACCTGGATGAACATGGAGGACATTATGCTAAGTGAAATCAGTCAATCACAAAAGGACAAATATCTTTGAGACCACTGTTGTAAAAAGTTAAGAAAACGTTTTCTTGGTAAGAGAAACAATCTATGATGGTTACAGGGTGGTGGGGGAATGGAGAATTATTCATGGGCTAGAGGGCAGACACATGGCAACATAACATAGGTGACAGGCAGGCAATATACAACAAGAGGGAGGTTAGCAGAGAGAAGATGAAGGTAGCAAGAGACACAATGAGGAACGCAAGAGTTAAAGTGAACACCGTGAACAGATAGCACACGGAGGGGATTATTTATGGTCACTAATAAAGTAAACTGTACGATTTGTTGAATGTAAAACTGACTATCTGCTCTGTAAACCTTCACTCAACTCATAATAAAAGTTTTTTAAAAAACCAAAATGAAGACCATTTGCATGCTTTCTTATTTCTAACAGTTGTAGAAAAACTCCAAAAATAAGTATCGTTAGCTGTCTCCGTCCCTGGGGTCGATTCTTCCTCCCCATTCAACTCTGGGTTCACTTTCATTCTGTACGATTATAGATTACCTTCTGATCTCTAAACAGCTCAGTTTCTGGACTTTACAAAATTAACTTTTAAAACTCTTATGTATAATTTCGTTCTGCTGTGCATAAGGTCGCTATGAGTCAGTACCGACTCAATGGCACCTAACAACAACAACAACAACATATATATGAGTTTCAAAAGTCCTGCTGTAGAACTGTGGGATAAATACTGGACCGCAAGGTCAGTCTGAACCACAAGGTTGACAGTTCAAACTCCCCTGCTGCTCCTGGGAAACCCTATGGGTAGCTATGAGTCGGAACTGACAGGATGATTATATGGCACTGTGGATTAATGGTCTGGACAGCAAAGTCATTTTGAACTTCAAGCCCGGCAGTTTAAGATCACCAGTCGCTCCTCCGAAACCCTATAAGGGTCGCTATGGGTCAGAACCAACTTGACGGCACTTAACAACAACAACTGTGCATACAAGTATGGTGGCTGCATATTGGATTGTGAACTACAAGGTTGGTGGTTCAAACTCACCAGCTGCTTCATGAAAGACAGATAAGGCTTTCTGCTCCAGCAAAGATTTAAAGCCTAGGAAACCCTATATGAGGGTCACTATGAGTTAGAACCAACTTGATGGTACTTAACAACCATGAGAAGTTTGGATACAATGGTGATTAAAAAGTTACCACAGCAACATTACACAACATGTTTTCCTCTTTGTTCGGGCAGAGCTTCCGTAGCTGGATCTTAGTGTATACACATTAGCTCTTTTGAAACATAATGTACATATTCCAATTAAAGTCAGCTCTCCCTTGCTTGAGGCGGGGACATGCTCAGGTAGGTTGTCACCTGATATGCCTTAGTAAACCTTCAAATGAGGACAATCTAATTGAGATCAAGATAGGTTCAAATCTGTAGTCTCCACCATTACAAGCATTCATTCAGTCCCGCTTCATGTGCTTTCTGAACCTTAGGGAGCAGAAAGCGAGATGTTAACTTTGTAGCAGTTTTTTGTGTAAGGATTGATGTGCTATATTCAATGATGAAATGACATTTAAGAACAAATTTCGTCTACTTTGTCATTGTCCACTCAAGGTGCTCCTTTGTGACAAAGGGAATGAGCAATAAACTTTGAATAAAGTAGACGAACCCCCAATTCATGGGTCAATATCTGGGAAAAAGGAATATTACAAGAAGCTGAGAGGATTGTTTCTTTTGGTACTCATAGATGTCTGGGTTAAAACAACAGCATGCAATCAGTAGTGTTTTGTATGGAAGTGATTTTCTTCCCCGTCAGTCAGATCATTGTGGTATTCCCAATAGGACTTCTAAAGGAAGTCAACAGCACTTACATTGTACAATGTGTGAAATCAAGAGAGCAGCGCTGGTATCATTACACGTCAACCGGCCTTGAGCCAAGTCCTGCTTCACCTGCAGAGCAAACAGGTACCTGCAAACAGAAAACACAGATGGGCGTCACGCCAAGAGAGCTGGAAGGAAGCATATCACAGTCATGCTCACTGCCGGCACCCTCTCCATACTGACCAGCCAAAGAAAAGACTAGCCAAACCCAAGTAGTAAGAAAGTCTGCCCAGGCTTGAATGACGCTCCATTGGCCCAGACTTCAGTATAAAGACCCACACTCCCTTACAAGTAACAAAAGGAAGACACATGCTGCAATCTTCGTGCATAATGAGTTTCATTTTATATGGAGAGTCACAAACATAAAAACTGCAGACTCTATTCTTGCCTCCCAATACGTCTTTTGTAGGGTAGAAGAAGCATTTTGAATCTTTCCCAAGATCGGCCACACACTCTGAAATGGCTTTATGATTCAGCTAATAAGAGCAGGTCTAAATGGACTTTTGTTATAGCGCTGTAAGATCAGCACTGGACCGCAAGGTTGATTTGAACTACAAGGACGGTGGTTCAAAGTCACCAGCTGCTTCTTGGAAACCCTATACAGGGTCGTTATAAGTCAGACTCGACTTGATGGCACTTAATAACAATAACAACAACGAAATTAGGGTTTACTAGGGGCTTTGTCAATAGAATTGGAATGATCTGAGTGTACGTTGATGTCCCGTAGTGTCTTCTTGGTGGACTTTTCACTTAGCTCCTTCCTAAGCCACAGCTGCCAAATCTGTAAAAGTGAGTTCATTTCAAAATCGTTTTCTTCCTACTATAGGATAAAGCAAGAAAAGATAACTTCATATAGAAATTAAGGAAAAACAATACAAAATTAAAGCTAATTTGAAAATATCAATCGCTGTTGTTAAGTGCCACCAAGTTGATTCCAACTCATAGCAAGCCTGTATAGGGTTCCCAAGAAGCATTTGGTGGGGTTAAACTGATGACCTTGTGGTTCACAGTCCAGTGCTGATTCTACAGTGCCACACCAGGAGTCCTGTTCTGTATTACTTCTGTCAATCTGAACTAATAAATATTTATAAAGATATTATATTATAGGGAATCAAACCCACTGCCATGAAGTTGGTTCTGATTCTTGGTCATCCTGTAGGATAGAGTACACCTGTCCCATAGGCTGTCCAAAGCCATATATCAGTATAGAAGCAGATTGCCACAGCTTTCTCCCACAAAGTGGCTGCTGTGTTCAAACTGCTGAGCTTTCAGTTAGCAGCTGACCACAAGGCCACTGTTATTGTGAGCACACTGAAATGGCCTTGAAGCAGTGTCCCCTCAGTAGCAACCTTAAAACCCGATTTTGTCTTAAATATAATTACTCAGTGGAGAAACACAGAGATCTCCGGAGAACTGATAAGACTCCATGCCTCAACTAAGGAAAGTTATGAAGTAAGCCTGGAATATCTACTTAGGATAGAAAGCAAGAGAGTTCAAAAATAAGTAAGTCATCTCAAAAAGGACAAAAGATCTTGAAGACCCTCTACTTTCTAAAGTCATGACAATGTGAACATCAGTGGGAATGAATAAAATCAATGGAAACACATTCAACTCATGAAATCCATGAGGCCATACAATCCTCAAAACAAAGAGGAAGTTGGAAAAATCAAATGTATCATCATTTGAGTCATACAGTGGTGCTGTCGGTCAGTGAGCTGGACTGCAAAGTCGGTTTGAACCGCAAGGTCGACGGTTCAAGCTCACCAGCTGCTCCTCGGAAACCCAATACAGGGTCGCTATGGGTCAGAACGGACTCAACCACACTTAACAACAACAACAACAAATCAACTCCTCATTTAAAATTTGTCAGCCTTGCACACCAACGATCACGGCAGCACTATTCACAATAGAAAAAAGATGGAGCCAGCCTAAGTGCCCATCAATGGAAGAATGGATAAACAAACTTTGGTACATCCACACAATGGAATATTGTATGAACCTTGAAGACTAACAAGGAAGCTGCAAGCCACCACATAACATGGATGAACCTTGAGGACATTATGCTGAGTGAAATTAGTCACAAAAGGTCAAATATTGCATAAAACCATTATTGTAAAAGCTTAAGAAAAGATACCTATACTAAAAGGGAAAAAAAGAAAATTTTTTGTTGGTTACTGAATGATTCAGTTACAGGGGTACAAAGAAGGTGGAATGTTATGACCTCAAAGAACAACAGGCTGCGCTCTGTGTTCTAGAACTTTCACTGGCGCATGCACTATAAATTAGAGGGGGAAACCACAAATGGCAGAAGGCTGAAAGTTAGGAGAAAGATGTTACGGTAAACCCAGGCATTAAAATTAAGAGTGCTCTAAGGAAAAAACGGAGTCCTGATAGGGCGCTATGGGCTAATGTGGCAGACTGCAAAGTCGTTTGAACTGCAAGGTTGGTGGTTCAAGCTCACCAGCTTCTCCTTGGAAACCCTATACAGGGTTGCTATGGGTTAGAATCGACTCGACGGCACTTCACAACAACAACAACAATGTTAAACTAAGGAGCTCTGGTAGCATAGTGGTTACAAGTCAGGCTATCAACCTCAAGATCAGCAGTTTGAAACTACCAGCACCCCATTCCATGGTAGAAAGATAGAGGCCTTCTGTTCCAGTAAAGATTTATAGCCTAGGAAACACTATGCAGGGTCGCTATAAGTTAGAACTAACTCCACAGCACACCACCACATTTTAGATAAAGGAGACCCAACTATCAACACGCACGGAAGCAGCAGTCAAGAAATCAAACGACGTATTGTATTAGGCAAATCTGCTGCACAAGACCTTTTTAAAGCGTTGAAGAGCAAAGATGTCAGCTTGAAGACTAAGGTGCATCTGACCCAAGCCATGGTATTTTCAATAACCTCATATGCATGTGAAAGCTGGACAGTGAAAAAGGAAGACCATAGAAGAATTGATGCTTTTGAGTTATGGTGTTGGAGGAGAATATTCAAAATGCCATGGGCTACCAAAAGAAGAAACAAATCTGTGTTGGAAGAAGTGCAGCCAGAGTGCGCCCTGGAGGCCAGGATGGCCAAACTTCATCTCTCATACTTCGGACATACTGTCAGGAGGGACCAGTCAGTGGAGAGGGCTATCATGTTTGGTAGAAAAAGAGGAAGATTCTCCCCAGCAAGATGGACTGGCAAAGTGGCAGCATGAATGGGCTTAAGAATGGCAACAACAGTGAGGTTGACCCAGGACTGGGCAGTGTTTCGCTCTGTTGTGCATAGAGTCACTATGAGTCGGTACCGATTCGATGGCACCTAACAACAACAATAACCTAGGACACGAGGAGCAAATGAAATTTGTGGCTGTAGAGTGAATCCTGTTGTTGTCAAGTGCAGTAGTCAGTTCTGCATGGGATTTTTGAGGAGCAGGTGATGGATTTTAACCACCGACCCCTGCAGTTAAACATTCTAGTTTTTTCTTCAGTGCCACAACAGATACAATTTTTAGAACATATTATTTTAAAATTAGCAGAAATAAAGGACATTTGAAGGACCAAATCGGGAACTCTAAATATGACTTAGGCATTGTTGTTGTTGTTAAGTGCTATTGTGGACCCTGTACAGGGTTTCCAAGGAGCAGCTGGTGGGTTTAAACTGGCGACCTTCTGGTTCACAGTCCAGTGCTGATCTTACAGCGCCACATCAGGAGTCTGGCTTAGGCATCAGATGTGACAGAAAGTACACATGTAGGCATACAAAAACTCAGAAAGAATATCACACACCAATCAATAATGGTAATCTCTAGGTTGAGTATTTTTATTTAATTTTGTTTACCTGTGTATTGTAACTTTCTATAATGCACATTTACTACTATTGCAATAATGCAAGTTTTTTTCTTTTTCTTCTTATTCTTTTTTGGAAAGGTTATCTTTAATTTCAAGAGGGGCCGTTAACATTACCAATCACAATGAGAATTCAATGAGTAATTGCATGCAAAGCACAGTGACTGAAATGTAATCAACAAATGTTAGCAATTTAAAAATAAAACAATAATTTATTAGGACTCTTTTAGGAAATTTCATTATTAAGAACTAAAAAAACACTATTGCACAGTATGGAAAATAGCCAGGATATCAGCAGATGTTCATGTGGGAAGAGAGCACCCAAGATATGTCTCGATTAGGCAGTGAGAGAGTGTTGTGAACCATAACATTTCTTAGAACCACAGGCCTTAATTCCAAACCCACGTGGTTAATTTTTAAATACGGTGTTGTAGTTAAGTGCCTTTGAGTAGGTTCTGACTCATGGCGACCCTGTACAGGGTGTCCGAGGAGCAGAGGGCTTTATATTTTAAAAGTATTATAGCCTGTATATTTTAGTAGTCGCTAGTCAAACACGGGGTCCTGAGCTCACAAATACGTTTCCAAAAACGAGTCCACAAGCTTTGGTGGCGTTTGGTAACAATCACGAGGGCAGTATGATGGTACCAGATTCAGAAAGCACACACATTTATTTAGACGGCAAATGCTCTTTTGAAAACCGAAGAAAGAACATTTCACACCTATTTGTGCTGACTCTTCCTGTTCCAAGCCCTTGTAACATGAGAAATACCTTCCTGGGCAATGTTTCCACAGAGGTTTTTTAATGACAAGAACTGTAAATTGAGCACAGTTGCCTGTATGTAGAGACACAGTAATATCTTTAGCTCATGAACAGAATCCCAATGAAATTCACATGAAGTGAGGGCTATGTTTTTCTCAGCAGGCACTAAATAAGTTAACATGATAAATGCCATGAAAATACAAAATATTCAGACTGGAATCAACCATCCTCCACAGAGGGCTGGGCAGGAGTAGGGTGTATGATGCCAAAGTCTTTTGACTTCGGGTCTGCATGAATTATGAATCACACTATACAGATGTTTTGTTTTAAAAATGACTATTCAACTTCATTTCATGTGGAAGGCCTAAATCTTCTTTACAGAGTCCTGGTGTAGCACTGTGAGTTAATGTGCTCCACTGTAGTCAGTGTGATCCACAAGGTCATCAGTTCAAACACCGGCTGTTCCTCGGAAACTCTATACAAGATTG